GCGGAATCCGCAGCCCCGCGGGGTCCGGGAACGAGCCGCCAACGGGAGCTGGGGACCCGCGGGGACCCGGAGGCGCGCGGCTTGGGCGCGGGCGAGCCGGAGGCTCCCGGGAGGCCCCTGAAGCCAGCTAGCCCTCGGTGGCCCGCGATGGTCGGCGGTAGCAGGGTCTCGGTCCCCGCCCCGGCAGCTGCGGTGTCAGATGCGCGGCAGATACCGGTTCCCGGGGCGCACCGGAGCCACGCGGCCTCGCGACCCTCCGTGCCCTCCTCTCGCAGCCGTCACCGCATCCCAAAGTTTCCCCAAGTGCAGCGGGCGGACTGACCTGGGACGCGCTGTCGGATCCGCAGTAGTCCTTCACCTGGCCGATCTGCTCCCGCCCCGACGCGCCGTCCGAGCTAGGGGGACTGTCTACGATTGGGCGGCTACTTTGATCTCGGTCCCCAGTCGGTGCCGCCGGGGCCCCCGCCCCTGCTCTGCAGACACAGGCGGGCCACGAAGCTCTGGAGCGGGAGCCGCGAGGCGCGCACCTCGCCAGACGCGGGGCTGGCGCTTCCGCTGGGAGTGACGCGCCCGCGCTCCGCCGCGCTGCAGGTGGGGGCGGCGGGCCAGTCCAGGCCCCGGGGGCCAGAAGATGCTCTCCGAGGCTCCGCCTTCGCGCCTAAGCCCCGCCCCGTCTCCCCTCCAGGCTGCTGAGCTTTGACAGCTGCGGCTGGCGGGAGAGCCTAGGGGCAGAAGCACAGTGTGGACCCATGAAGATGACCCTGGTCCGGGTCTGCGTCCACGTCCTCTCCCATCTCATATCCATCTTGTTGGTCTTGAGACTCAGCTTTTGCGGGTCCCTCTCCTCACTCTCTTCCCCCACTTCAGGTAAAGCCAGAACCTCACTTCAAGACTGTGGGAGCAACCGTTTTGTTTTTATAAATTTATAACTCCATTATGCTATGATTAAGGCTTATTAGAACAGCTAACAAAATTTTGCAAAATAAAATTGAGGTATTAAACCCCACGGAGACATCAAGAAAAAAGGAAATTAAGTAGATGAAATTGTTTCAGCTCTTCATATATCTTGAAGGACCTGGTGGAGGAAAAGATAGATCTTTTCTGACCAGATAATGCCAATCAAAGATAGTTTCCCGAGGCCAGGCTGATGGCACTCACCTGCTGGGAAAGGGAAAGAGACCAGAGGACAGAAGGTGTGAGTTCAAAGCCAGCCTGGGCTACATACTTGTCTCAGAACAAACTAGTTTGTAGTTTTGAGATCCCCTCCCCACCCCCACTTCCACCCCCCGCAAAGGAAAAGATAATATACTCGTAGGTATAGATTCTTTATTTAAACAAATCCCTGTGAAATGGTCCCTTAACTAAACATGTGACACACATTCACAGGACATGTTGCACCACAGGTACGTTCTAAGAAAGTGCACTCCCTGGGGGGGGGGTCACTCTCTGTTTACACACGTTCATTTGGACAGTCCCAGGAAGGACAGAGCAAACTTTTGTGAAGGCATGGTTCTCCTTCCCTCCATCTCTTTTTAACATTTTTACTCACATGTATATGGCATACATACTGGAAGGTCTAGACCACAAGTCCAGAGATTTTTGCACAAACTGAAGCATCTTGAAGATCAAGAAACAGAACACGCTATCAGCAACAGACCTGTTTTGCTATTTGTGTGTTTTCTAACATCATAGGGACTACATCCTGTTGCCTGGCTTTCCCCCCTCAGTGTTACATGTCAGACCATATACAGTGTGTGCCTGTGGTTTTCTCCTTCTTTTAGACGGCTAGTATCCCATTGTGTCTGTCTATCTCAATTCATTTTCTCCTGGTAAACATTTGGGCTACTCTGAGGCTTGGGAAAGCCCAAAGAACTGTGCCATGAACACAGCAAGTGACATCTCCTGCCCACCTATGCACACATTTCCGTGGGGGACATACCTGGGTGGAGCTATGACTCGTGAAATTGGCATGCGTGGATATTACCAAGCTTCAAAGTTGATCCAATTTTCACTCCTACTTTATTAGTTCCTTATCAATTGTTACCACAAACAAATCACATTGGTGTCTTAAAATAGTACAGATTTATTTACTCACTTACAGTTCTGGCCGTCAGAAGCCCCAACTTCACTTTAATGTGACAGAAGTCGGCAGTTGTCGGGACTCTGCTGATTCTGGAGGGCTGAGGGAGAGAATCTGTTTTCTCTGCCTCTTGTGACTTTCAGAGGCTGCCTCAAATTCCTTGGTTAGCGGGCTCTTCCTCTATAATTAGGTTTAGATGTGTGTGTGTGTGTCTGTCTGTCTGTCTGTGTCTTTGTCTCTGTGTCATCTCCCTGTCTCTCTCCCTCCTCTCTTCCCCCTCTCTCCTCTCCGCTGGCTTGTCTTTCTCTCCCTCTGCCCCTCTGCTTCCTCCTCGCTCTCTGACTTCCCTGCCTCACTCTTGATGATTACCTTCATAATTGCACTGGGCTCACTTGGATCATCTGACATCTCAAGATTCACAATTTAATCACACCCACAAAGTTCCTTTTACCACACAACGTAACATATTCATCGGTTCCAGAAATGAGGCTGTGAACTTCTTTGGCAGGTTATCATCTGGCTTGCTACACCCACCACTGAAGAGTTGGAAGGTGTTTGCTAGAGACAGACAACTGGGGGGTTGGGGATAATGAAACCTGGAGGGTTTTCCTGTTGACCTGGTGCTGTGCCAGGTCAGGAGAGGGGATGGTGGGAAGTCATTTCTGGCCACTACCCCCAGGAGCTTTCACAGAATGAGAGGCCAGGCTGTTTTGGGGAGAAACACCTATGCTGAGTGAAAGGCTAGAGAAGGGAGGCCTGCCTTATCTGATTTAGAGGATGCTGTGGTCTGGATGTGCGCCTCCCAGTGATGTATTGAAATGCAAATGCAATATGGTGCTATTTATAGATGGGGTGTTGAGGAGGTGATGAGTTGGTCCTTATGATGGATTGGAGCCCTTGAGAAAGGCTGGGGGGGGGGTAGGTTAGTGTCTGTGAAGGGCAGTGTCATCCTCTCCAAAGGATGTTGCAGCAGCACCATATGAAACCACAAGAGCAGTCCTGTTCAGGTGCCTAGCCTTTGGACTTCCCAGTGTCCAGAGCCCTGAGAAGCGTTTTCCAACTGTCCCCAAGCTCCCCAGTCTGAGGTATTTGGCTAGGGCAATGTTAGTAAACATTAACCCACACCAGAGCAACTGGCGCTGAAGAGAGAAGACAGTGGCTAACACATTCCGTCTGCACCTTGGGCAAGGTCCTGGGGTCAGTGGAAAGTGTCCCTGCACCAGGCTGTGTCCCGTCTCATCCTCCAGCTCTTGGGACTAATCTGTTTCAGGGCTTAGGGAGGAATCATGGGGACTGACTTACCACAGTAGCCAAGGTACGGTAAAGAGAGAAAGGGATGACCTCTGTAATGCTGGTCCCCAAAGAGGGGGCCAAGACACCCAGCTTGAGTTTCTAGATTAAACCCATCTTAGTACAGCAACCATTTCTGAGAGGAGATAGGCTGGGTGTTATAACGACATTCTTCCGACAAGACCACCCTGGCTCCAAGGTACACTTAGGAGGGGAGCCAGGGACAGAAAGAGCTTTGTGACTCTTCTCAATGCCCTTTGTGCCAACCCACCTGTAAGGAGGTTCCCCAAGACCCGAGGAAGGGAGAAATGAGGAGGTAGAACAGGGCAAGAGCTACCGAGCTTATTGAAGGCATCCTACATTGTAGGTGACTAAGTAGGAGCATCTAGATTGTAAGACTCCTTGTCTTCGTGGTTTTATGTTATTCAAACTATGTTATAAGAGAAGTAAAGGTAGATGCCTGGCTTTGATGAGCATCTTTATCATAAATTCCTTGATCTGCTTTCTGTCTTCCAGAGATGATTGGGAGTTTTGGTCTGCTGATAAAAGGACAGGTTTGTGGTCAGCCTAGGCTGCTGTGCAGCAAGACTGTCTCATACCGGAACAAAACCCCAGAAGCAAACAAGGTGAAAATAAATGGAATAAGAGCGCTAGAAAAATTAGCAGTGAGAGCTGATGCCTCCTTCCAAAGGTTGTATGTGAAGCCAGAGCCTGGGGTGGGGGATTTATCTCTTGATAACAAAGTATCTACCCAATGTGCATAAGGCCTTGGATTCCATGCCCAGCACTGATTCCCTGCACCCACCCACGAGCCCCAATCCAGTATGTGCTCTGTCTCCCCAAGCCACAGCTTCCCATGTATTCATATGCTGAGACTGCCCGCAACTCTTTGATGTGGGAAAGAAAAGGTGCCCAGAAAAACAGGCTTCATAAGGGCCTTTGGGGTTTCCTAAAAAGCTATGATACAGATTTTATGTCTAATCCTTTGGTGCATGGACCAAGGATTGTTCAGATGGGGTATTTCTCAGGGCTAGGAGCTAGGCCTCTGTTACTCAATGTTGCCCAGCAGGTAAGTAGCATTGTGGCTCTCTTGAAAACTGCCCTTCAGATGTGAGAGGCCCATATTTTTTTTTCAGTACATTGGACCATTTGACTTTATTAAAAGGCTATGATTTCCCAAAGTTCGGATGCCAATGCTTTGTTTCTTGGTCTTTATAAATGACTTAGTAGATAATCTGTTGTAGATCACAGATGTCAGTGTCTGGGGGAAATCCTGGGATGAAGAGACGCAAAGCTGTATATTTAGACTGTTGTGCATCAGGACGGATAAGTTGGTTCTGGGCCTGATGCATTTTGCGGGAGTTTGGGATGGGTGGAGGCAGGCCTAGGGAAGGGGAGGAGACCCCTGAAGAGGAACCCCCTGAACAGGGGCAGTTGCCCTATGAACTCGGGAATGTCCAGGAACAGACTCTACATTTAAATATCAGTTAAAACAACTTTGGGTCAGTTTTAGTGTTTTAACGTAGTAGGTCTACATTTCCCCATTGAAGTCCGGGGCAGATGCAGCTGGCTTCTTTTTCAGTCGCATTTACTAACTTAGGTCTCCTGTTCACAAGATGGCGGCTCAGCTTCTTGACATCATATCCACAGCACAGGCCTGAGGGGTCAGGGTCAAAATGAGAGACATGAATGACAGCTGCGTGACCTTTTTTTGATTAGAAAAGCAATATATCTCCTTGGTCCCTGCCTGACCTGGGGCTTCTATTCACAGGCCCTGGGCTGAACTGGATCACAGGTGGTCTCTACCTTTAACAAAAGCAAAAATTGTTTTCTTCCCCTCTTTTTCATCCTCCCCTCATCTCACTGAAATGTCCTTGGAACCATGGTCTGTCAGGAAAAGGGTCAGAATAGCATACATCTTCCGCTGTGACCCGGGACAACTGTCTAAGCCCTTTGCTGTTTAAGCACCTGAACAATGAACCTCACAGGTTCGCAGCAGTTCCTAAGCCAGAGGGCTGCTTGGAATATCGATGAGTTCGTTTTCCCAAGGCAGAATGGCACAGCAGAATTGTTCGTTGAGTCCATCAGTAAAGGGGAGCCTGAGTCCATGGTTCCGCAGTGAGCAGGGCCAGTTTTTAAGCATGGCTATCCTGAA